CATTTTAAAATAACTAAGGAACAAGCCAGACATATAATAAAACAATGTCAAAATTGTGTGACATTTTTACCACAAGTTAATCTTGGAGTCAATCCTAGAGGACTGATACTTAACCATATTTGGCAGATGGACGTCACACACTTGCCAGAATTTGGAAAATTAAAATATTTACACGTTACAGTTGATACTTCTTCCGGATTTTTGATGGGCTCCCTTCATGCCAGAGAAAAAACTAAAGATGTTATAGCTCATTGCTTACACAATTTTGTCACTGTGGGCGTTCCTAAACAGTTAAAAACCGGTAATGGTCCTGGCTATACCTCTACCTCTTTTAAACAATTTTGCTCATCATTTGGTATTACTCATATAACAGGAATCCCATACAATCCACAGGGACAAGGCATAGTTGAAAGAGCTCATCAAACTATTAAAACGTACTTATTAAAGCAAAAAGAGGGAATTGGAAGGGGGTATATATCCCCCAAAGATAAACTTAAAATAACGCTTTTTACTCTAAACTTTTTAAATTTGGATTCATCAGGACTTAGTGCTGCGGAAAGGCATATGTATCCAAAAAATGTACATAAGCCTAAAGTACTTTGGAAAGATATTCTAACAGGACAATGGAAAGGTCCTGACCCAGTGATTGTCTGGAGTCGGGGGTCTGTTTGTGTTTTTCCACAGGGAGAACAGCAGCCAATTTGGATTCCAGAGAGATTAACTAAAACAATTTCTACAGATCAAAAAGAAGATGATTTGACTCAAATCCATAACAGCTGATATCCAGAACTCCAGCTTGGCCATTCTTACATCTGCGACAGTGATTAACCAGGATGCTTTTTTCAATAGCTATTTTATTATTGCATTTTTCCACATCATAAGGTTCTATTTTTATTTTTTGAGCTCATACAAACCTAGGTTAATGTTTTTCTGATCAGTTTTATTTTTTGACTGTGGAGTTTTTAAACATTGCAATGGAGATTTCACCCAGGTAAAGCTACAAGGCCTTTAATATTTTCTTATGTGTTGTACGTTTGTGTACACTCTTGTGTTTTGTGTTGTATGTCTGTATGTGCGTATGTCCATATTTCTTATATGAGGAGCGCTCATGAAAAAATGGATCCGAATTATTATTATTTTTTTATTCACGTGATTTAAATGGTTTAATTTAAATTAGGTAAACAGCTGTTAAGGATTGTTTTTAAAGTAGGTTAACAGATCTGTTTGTTTACTTTCACCTTTCCTTTTCATTATATTCAATAATTCTTTTCAGGATAATGTCTTTTTAGCATCGTTGCCAGAATTCCTATCTTCATCCCAGTGCCGGTGAAGACAAAGATAAAACCAAACTACAGCTTCTATGATAGCTATCACAGTAAACTGTATAAACTGATGCATCAATGAATATAACTCAACAAGTAATGCTCAATCAAGGAGTCAACTTACTTTGGGAGGAAACGGATTTTGGGAGGAAATGGACATATTGATAGATTCCTCCGCTTTGAACTGCTTGCAGAACTTGCCTGGACTATGTAACTATCGTTTGGTGCAGCGAATTGTGGTAATGCTGGCATATCTTTGCTGATGGTGTCACCAGTGATGCAATTTTTATTTCCTTGCCAGTGCACCCCATGTTAATTGTGGTAGTGCTGGCATATCTTTGCTGATGGTGTCACCAGTGATGCAATTTTTCCCAAGGAGCCATCAATTGGCTTGGTGTTGTGGCATTTCTGTATCCTCCTCCCTTCTGCTAGTGATGGTCTAAAATTTGGGGGCCAAAGGCTGTATGCTGGACCGGTAGTCAGTGATGGGTATGATCCAATTGCAGTGGTATCAACCTAAGACAGGAGGCTGAAGCCTAAAGGTCAGTTTTCCGATGACGGATAAGAACCATATGTTGAATTGGACAACCTACCAGGCACAGTCCTTAAGCCACATTAACCTCACTCCCCCACTGGCACCAAGGCCAAATTTGGGGGCCAACAGAGGTGAGGCAAAGAACCTCACCCCCCCACTGGTGCATAGACCTATCCACAAGTATGGCTGTATGCTGGACCGGTAGTCAGTGACGGGTATGATTCAATTGCAGTGGTATCAACCTAAGACAGGAGGCTGACGCCTAAAGGTCAGTTTTCCGATGACGGGTAAGAACCATATGTTGAATTGGACAACCTACCAGGCACGGTCCTTAAGCCACATTGCTTGTTGTTTAATTAATCAGAAGGGGGGAGATGCTGGGAGGCATTAGCCAAGTAGGTATGACAATTTCCTTGCCAGCATACCCCATGTTGCTTAGTGGAAGGACTCGTGGAAATAGGACATTTTGCAGTGACATTGCAGTTAGGTGACCTTGCTCAAGGACCAGGGCGGATCCGGGATTAGAGTGTTCCCAGTTTAGGATAATCGGGTTTAGGGCATTCCAGGTTTAAGATTATTCCTGCTGGGAATAGGGCGTATCCTGCTGCCTGAGTTCCCCTTGAGTTCTCACGGGATTCAGACAGTATTCTGGGGGAGATAGAAGCCCAGTGGGTGTGGATTTGGGCAGAGAACGTGGATTTCCCCAGAATGTGATTGTAGACAGCTGGTGTGAGTTCGGGAATAAAGAGTTGCTGTTTGAATCTACAAGCTGTGTCGTGGCTCGTGATTGTGTGCCCAGCCAGACTGTGGCATTTGTGCCCAGCCAGACTGCGGCACAAGAGTGCAATGAACAGGACATAACTTTCCTATGAATACATCACCAGTATTATACCATACTATGTATAATCACAATTAGAACACAACCTAATTAGAATAAGCTATACTGCATGTATGTATAATATGTCAAAATACACTCTACTATCATGTACATCTAAAAAATAACAAATAAAAAAATGAAATAAAATGGTGATTTTGGAGTCGGAATGTTCACTTATTCCTCTTTCTGGATTCTGAGCATGCCCTAGTGATGAGTAAGTAGGAATATACCTCTTGCCACCACATCTTACTTTCTCTTTCTAGGTATGTAGGTAATGTAGGCCACATGCATGTATCTGGGTTAGGTAAATAGCATTAGCAGATATAACCAGGGAGACTGCTGTGGGTCTGTTTTCTCTTTCAGTATTTCCCACCTTAATGATCCCTTGACCAGCCCTTAGTTATGTGGGATAAACTGGGCAAAGTGGAGCTATAAAAGGGCATGGGTTCGTGCAGAAAAACATCTAGTCCAGGAATTGTAGAAACTCTGAATGTCTCTTGGCTTAGGCAGAAACCCATGCCTCTTGGTTCCATTCTAACTCGGGTATTGCCATAATTCTCTAAATACAACAATATAGTGTGATCAGTCTTTGACTTCCTAGGATAATTCATTTAATAAATACTTACTCAAAGCCCTCTATGGTGTTAGACATGATTCTAGGCTCTCGGGAACCTGGCACTGCACTAGACTAAGTTTCCTCTGCTCTTGCAGATAATAATCAGCAAGCAAAAAAAGAAGGTTAATTAGGGAAGATGAGTGTTTAGATGAGTACAGTCTTTTCTAGATTGGATGGAATCTTACCTCCTTCAGGAGGTGACGTTTCAACTGAGAGCTAAACATCAGGAAAGAGTCAACCATGGGAAGAGGATGGGAAATGACATTTTATGTACAGGAAATAATAAATGTGAAGGACCAGAGATAAGAATTTTGCTTGTTTAAGGAATAGAAAGCAAGTCAATATGGCTAGTGCATACTGAGGGAAGGGGGAATGATTAAGAAAAGAGATGCCGGGTTCAGCAGATCCTGCAGTGCCTCAGAGACCTGAGGATCAGTTTAGAGTTTATACTAAGTGGAATGGGAAACCATAAAGGTTTTATAGGCAAGATATAGATTTTTGCTTTTAAAAAAAAAAGCCCTCAGGAAATCTCTCAGGCATCTACATGGAGAACAGAATGTAGACAACAAAAAAGACATGGGGAAACTTGTTCTAGACTATTTATATAGGACATAGGTTTTCTTTCCTAATTTTTTTGATGTCTTTAAGCATTAGGTCTTATTCAAATGAGTGCTTCTGTTCTAGAAATATATTCTAGCTGACTACCGGTCTCGTTTACTTTGGTATGATATATATTCATTTCTCCATCTTTCTTTTATCCTTTTATCTATAATCTATCACCCACAAATGTTCATTGAGATGCTGCTGTTTGCCAAGCCCAGTATTAAGCATACAATGTTTAAATTTTTTTTTTTTGGTCTGGAGCCATTCATAGTTTATTTGTATAGAAAGACATGCAAATAGATAAATATAATATGTTTCAATAAAGGTTATAATCATGGGTGCATAAAGTACATACATAAGAGGCAGGGAGCAAGTAGTCCCAGGTAAGATTTGGTGATATTTGAACAAGGTTTTGAAAGATCAGTAGAAAATTATCCAACAATAATAATAATAGCTATTATTTCTTAAATTTCTAGTTGCTGAGGATTGTATTCTGAACTTAAGACATATTATCCTACTTAATCTTTCTCCCAACCTATTGTGACAGGTAGTATAATTCCCATTGCATGCAAAGACAGAAATACTGAGAGATCAACAGCTGCAGCCCAGACTATGAAATCCATTTGTCTCCAGAGAAAACATCCCTAACTCTACAAATTTCCTACTGTATATAAATAGAAGTGTAATGGGGGGGGGTGTATGTATAGTCTCTCTTTCTAGAGTACAAAGTTCCACAGTTATTTCCTAGAGATGCATAGGATATGTGAAAAATATAACACGCTAGTTGTTTCGATCATTGCCAACCTGCTTTTTAAAGATATTTTATTTCAGGGAGAATTTTAGCCAAGAGAACAAGGTATGAAAGGCAGGGAGGCAAAGAAGGGGACATTTGAGGAGGATTGGAGGTTTGGAGCCCTGGAAAGCACAGGGATGAAGAATTTGAGGAGGCAGGGCATGAGCCACTGGACAGGATGGAGCCCGGGCAGGACATCACTGCACAGCGTGAAGGGGGCTTGCCTTCCTCCTGCAGGCAGTCTCAGTGGTTCCTTACAACCTGGAGAACTGGATCAGGTCACGATTGATTTCAGCAACTGACCGGCAGCCTGAAAGAACCAGATGGTTACAAAGCTTGGTTCTCTCATTTCACAGGCATGGGATGATGCATTGGGAAAAAGATGATGATTTAGGGGCTCATGCAGAAAAGTGTCTAGCCCAGGAATAGTAGGTGTTTTCATGTCTGTTGACTTACAAAGCAACCTATTCTTCTGGGTTCCACCCTAACTTATTGTCTTCCTTCTAGAATTGTCATAATTCTCTAGAAGTGACAATGTAGTTGGATCTACTTTTGTCTTCCTAAATTATATATATATATTTGTGTGTGTGTGTTGTGCTGGGGATTGAACCCAGGGTCTTGTGCATGCAAGGCAAGCACTCTACCAACTGAGCTATATTCCCAGTCCCTGATAAAATATTATGTGCACAGAAAGAATCATTTAATTCTGATTGCATTGGAAATTATTTTATGATGCCATACCATGTCATGTTTCAACATTTCAAAATGTCAGGGTATTTTTTAATATTTTAAAAAAATCATCCTTGCGTACTGTAGATATCTTTGAACTTTATCTAAATTTTGATAAGGTGCAGGATGTTGAAAGCAATTTCTAAGGAGAGACAGACTCAGGGATAGTGTAGGAGGTGGGCTGAGTCCCCCCTACACCAGCTGCTTTTAATGCAAAATTCTGTCAAAGGAAAAAGATCTTTTTTAGCAGAAGATCTTAATTAATATGCAAAATGGGACTATAGTAGAGATTGCATACAGGAATTCAAAAGAGTCTTTTCAGACAAAAAGTGAAAAAAGAAGGGAGAAAGAGAAGCTAGCATGGTGGTGTGGGACTAGAGAGTTGTGGACTCGGGTAGACAAAAAGAAGTCCCTAGTAATGCGAAGGCTGAAAGAACTTAATAACAATCAGTGTGATTTTGAACTTCACATTCTTTCCATATCTATGATTTATACACCTTCGCCTCCCAAACGTAATATTAGCAAAATCTATTACCAAAATATTAACCAATGAGAGAATCTTTTTCTAAAAATAGAAACAAATAAAAGGGTTAAGTTTCTGGGTTGATCGAATCGAACACAAACAACAGGCATGGGATCTGTAGACAGCCTGTGAACTGAACACAGAATCAGGAAATTAGAGACAGAGGTGACCCTCTCCAGAAATTGCAATGATCTTGAGGAGAGTTCTGGGTTACCACTGGCAGAGAATAGTGCTTGATCTTTGTGTAGGACAGTTCTTCCCTGTTCTCTCTTCTGGACAGCTAGGAAAGGACTCATTCAAGGGAAAGGCTCTTGCTTCTGTTCTACAGATCTCCCACTTAAAGCCCCAAATCCAGAAAAAAAAATAATAAAAATAAAAACTTACCTATAAGTGACATGGAAGTGTGGAACTCATTTTTTAAAATGTTTAAAACTTCCTCAACACCATCTTCACCCTGCTCCCAAGACAGAAAGGGCAGAGGCCCCAAAAGAGACTTGAAGGAACATTTTGACCATCTGCTGGGTAGGAACGGTGGATATAGTGAGAACTATGGCAGGGATGTGGAAGAATATCTAGGACATTAGAATTATCTGGGGCAGAAATGAAAGCAAGAAGGAAAAGTTAGAGATGAGAGCTCTTGAAAGTTTGTGGCACGCATCAGAGGGCATGTGTAGGAGAGGTGATTATCCTCGGGCACCTCGAAAAGTGGTGAGGGTGGAGGATGAACCACAGAAAAGCATGAAAATGAGCAAGAATCTCTGTATCTTCCCAATGATTCACATTGTGCCACTCTTACCTTATAGGCAAGACCCCAGAGGATTGGTCTCCCAAGAAAAATGCACTTAGCTCCGAGGGCCAGAGCTTTCAACACATCGGTACCAGTTCGGACCCCACCATCGAGGTACACTTCAATTTTCCCTTTTACAGCAGACACCACTTCTGACAGAGCATCAATCTGAAAAGGAGACAGACATGTGACTGCAGGGACTTCTCTTTTGACTTTCAGGGAGTGGGTGGTGGTGGGGGTAGGTGCCCTCCACTAGTTTGGCCAACTGGTCCCTAACTCCCTCACAGTTTATCTGAGAAATGGAAAGAAGAATGCAACAGCAGTGTTGTGAAAGTCAAGTGCAAGCCTTCCAAAGACAGAACAAAAGCAGCTTATCACTGTGGCTGCATTTCTCCCCTGAATTTTCTATCTTATCTAATCACTTCATTTCCAGCCACTGAGGCTGACAGGCCTTGACTCTACAAGATGCCCAGGGCCACTCCAGGCTCCTGGCACTTCCAAGTCTATGAGGAGGATGGTAGCAGGCCCCTCAGGATTTTAGCAAGAGGATCCTGGGGAGGGAGTTCGGAACTACCTCAGGGTTCTTGTTCGTGCTTCACTGAGGGATGCCAGAAAAGAGGACTTGAAATTGGGCTCTAGTGGGCCTTCTGTTGCAGAGGAACTCATCAGAATTCTACCTGGCTTGAGACTGAGCAGCCTAGTAAACTAGTGAGAAAATTTGTGCTTTAATTTACAAACAGAGGGGTTAATTGAATATATTTTGGACTCACATAGAACAACCAGAGAAAATTCATGTCCAAGTATTATTTGGAATATTTCAATGATGTTGTGAAAAAGAAATAAAAGTATTTGTACAGACAACCCCTCTAGCCATATTGGACAAGGGAATTGACAATAAGTTTGGAAGTCGAAGAGGGAATGAATTTCAGCCAAGGGTACAGTGTGGTTTTTAGAGTTTGTTTTTAATAGGCCAGATCAGGATATTCATTGGAGACTCCCAAGGACAACAGCTGACTTATCTTGTTCCCTAGAAACATAAGGACATTAGATATGGAACCTCATAGAGGTGGGATCTATATTAAAAATATATCAGGTATTATAGGGCTGGCATCAGCCAGGGGAGAGTAAGGGACTTGCCACAGGCAGAAAACTTACGAGGGCACAAAAAAAAAAAAAAAAAAAAGAAATTGACCAAATGATGCTATATGTACATACATGATACACCACAGTGAATGTTACCTTCATGTATATCTATGAAGCACTAATTTAAAAATCAATCAATAAATAGAAGAAAGACCAGTAGAGAGAGGAAGGGGAACAAGTAGTAAAAGGAGTAGAGAGAAAGAAAAAGTACTAGGGACCGAAATGGAAAGCGTTATATTCCGTGCATGTGTTATTATATTAAAATAACCCTCACTATTATGTATAATTATAATGTAATAGTAAAAACATTTAATAAAACAAAAAAAGGTAAATTCTGATTTGTGAAGATTTATTTGTATAAATAAAATGTTCCTGGATCCAGGGTAAGGATCAAGGTGAAATAAGTGAGACAGGGTTATGTAGATGTGGGGGCAGATCCTGTCTTTATTTAAAATATGGATATCTTGTTCATTGCAGATTCTTTTGCATTGATTTTTCAATTTTTTTTAAATAGTGTATTGAAATATTTATCTTACTAAGTCCTTTAGTACCTGCTTAAAGTTTGGAATCCAGGGGAGCATCTCACTAGCCTCACACTACTCTGGATGCTGTCCCTGGATGAACTTGTATTTGAATGATTTTAAAAAAAATGGTTGATCAGCATAGTTTGAGGGAGGAATGCTCCTAAATCTCTCTCTGGCTCAGTGTGTTAGCCAGTTCTTGTTCTCTATTGAGGAAGTACAGTGGGAGATTAGTTGGTCTCTTTCTACACTCATTAATCAGTCCTCCCAAGGGAGTAGGACTAGCTAAATGGATTAATGAGAGCCTGACACCTATGGTAGCTGCCTTCTACCCTGCTTGCTGCTTGTGGGTGGTAGGCTCTTGCTTTCTGCTTCTATCTGGTAAGCACATTTGGGCAATTCAGGAGACCTGCAAGGATTTTGCATTCTCTGTTCTGTTAATGGCTGGATGTGTGAGAAGCAGGCCCTTGGGCATCCTTGCAGGAGCTGGTTGAGAGCTCAATGTGTGCACTGCAGACCCACTTTCTCTTACGGTTACAGGTCAAGAATTGGGAGTATTACTCAGCCATAAATAAGAATGACTTTATGACATTTGCCAGCAAATTGATGCATCTGGAGACTATCATGCTAAGTGAAATAAGCCAGACCCCCAAATCCAAAGGTGAAATGTTTTCTGTGATATGTGGAAGCTAACCCACAATAAGGGTGGGGGATGAGGGGAAGAAGAGAAGTTCAATAGATTAGACAATGGGGGATGAAGAGAAGAGAGGGGAAATAGGAAAAGGAAAGAAAGTGAAGTGAATCTGACATAATTTTCCCATGTACATATATGAAAACAGCACAGTGAATCCCACCATCATGTACATCCATAAGAATGGGATCATAACTAGAATAAAATATGTGTCATGCTTGTATAATTATATCAAAATGGATTCTGCTATCATGTATAACTAAAAAGAACGAATTAAAAAAAAAATAAAAGATTTGAGATGGAAAATCGGAGGCCTGACCAATTCATTCAGTCCAGCTTTTACCAAAAAGCCACAATCAAGTGCACATAGAGTTATTTTCCCCCTGTGGGCTGGCCATCCCTGTGTTTTCTACCAGGGAAAGGAGGGGAAGAGGAGGAGAAGAGTGATTGACACCTGACCCCTCCAAACATCACAAATCTTGGAACATGCCAAAGGGCTGCTGCAGCATTTCTACTTCCTGGAATTTATCTTTAAGAAGTAATTGAGAATATGCTAAAGATTTTAACCTTAAGGATGGTCACCAATGCACTAAATACTGAGATTGGAAGCAATGCAGATGATGGACAATAGGATATTAGTTACATAAATTGTCCATTCATCTGACACACTATTAAAAATACGAGGAGAATATTTATTGAAACAAAAAGTTGCTCTTAATTCATTGTTAAATAAAAAAGGAAATTACAAAATGTTATGTATTTAAATAGAAAAAGTATTTGCATTAAGAAAATTGATGACAAAAGTACCAAATACCGGGGTTGGGAATGTGGCTCAAGCGGTAGCGCGCTCGCCTGGCATGCGCGGGACGCTGGGTTCTTTCCTCAGCACCACATAAAATAAAATAAAGATGTTGTGTCCACCGAAAACTATAAAATAAATATTTAAAAAATTCTCTCTCTCTCCCTCTTTCTCTCTCTCTCTAAAAAAAAAAAAAGGTACCAAATACCTAAAAGAACAAAAATTCTTAAAAAGAAGTAACAAAAATATTGACATTAATGACAGAGATGAAATTTGGGTGATTTTTATCTTTTTCTTTTTTCTTATGTGTATTTTATAATTTATGTGCATGTTTTGCTCCCCAAAAGCTTAGGATAAAAAAGCTTCACTTCCCTTTCTTAATACAAGTCAAACAGCAATAAAACAACCTTTTGAAAAAAGATAATATACACATCTCCATGAAAATAAATCAACAACTAATTCCCATTTAAATATTCTTTTTAATATCTAAATATTCTTCCTCCCTTCTCCTTGTTATCTTCTTATAAACCCCATGTTCATGGGTTTGGGAAGAAAATTATAGGCTGTTGTAGATTTTAGTAATGAATTCATTGGGGGTGATTTTGGGTTTTAATGTGCAAGACAGTTACTTATTAGCTTAAGTGAGCACTGCCCCTTCCTGGGATGTATCAGATGGGAAAACATGGGGTTATAATCTATGCAGACATGCAGTCTTCAATCTGAATGCTTTACAGTAGGCAGGAAGTTTCATTCCTTTGAAAAATCTCTCTGATTCCACCTCAACCATGTTATCCATGTGAATCTAGACAAGTTACTTGAGATCTTTTAACTCCAGTATCCCCATCTGTAAAATAAGGATATGCCTGACTTGTAGCACTGTCAAAAGACATAGAGATAATACTTGCAAAGCTTATAAAAAAATAGTCTGGTACAACTAGACTACTGTAATGATTAACAGTCCTTAAGATCATGGGGGCACTAGGGTAAGGGAGAGGGGAAGGGCACCAGATTGCACAGAAGGTTTTGAGGTGGACACACACACACACACACACACACAGCTTCACAGTCACACCTCCTTCCCTCCCTCTGAGATCGTCCTACTTACTGAAGCAGGGACCTCATCAAGCTGCCTCCCACCATGGTTAGAAACAATGATGCCATGGACATTGTGCTCCACTGCTAACTCTGCATCCTCTTTTGTCAAAATCCCTTTGAGGATGATGGGGAGTTGAGTTATACTCTGAATCCAAGAGAGGTTATCCCAGCAGAAAGATGCACTGATGGGAGGCACCTGGGTACAAGGCACGGAATTTCTCTGTGGGGAATAAAAAGCCAAGTCTTAGTCCTGAACTCCTGTAAGACTGCTTGACGTATTCCAAAGAAGAAGCGCATTTGGAGAGCTGCCGTTTATAAGCTTGAAAAGAAAAAGAAGGAAATCCAAAATGCTTCTGTTTTTCCTAACAAAATTTGTATGAAAGAATTTTTTACTTCAGTTGCTTATTCATTAACCACTGGTTATGTCCTTGATTAATAATTATGCTAAAATATGAGGACACAAAAAAGATTAAAAAAAATAAGATAAGATCCTTTTACAAAGAATTCAGAGTTTATAATATGAAACGGATAAGCAGACATATTTACTGGTCAGTGTGACATTTTATGGTTGAGATATTCACAGGCTAAGACTTAAGCAATAATTCAAGAATCCTAACCCAGGTTATTTCCCAATATTTACAGTTGACTCACTATGAGCATCAAATACCCATAAATCCTAATGTACCTAATTTTTTGATAAAGTTTCCAGAGTACCTGATGGTCAATTTGTGGTTAAGGAGAGCTGCTGAGTATCTTGGCTGGGTATCACAGCTGCCCATTGGCTGAAAAGGCTGTCCTTACCACCTCTATGACAGCCAGTCAAGGGATTCCAACTTTACCATGGTATTCCCTCTCTGGAGTACTCCATCCCATTCAAATATAAGATTTTAATGAAGGAAGTGCCCACTTAATTAAGTAGTCACTTCATTCAAAGATTCCAAGCAGATGAGTGTGCAGCACTCTGATGTTCCAGAGTGTGATATTCTAAGTGTGCAGAGATACCGACTCCTTAGTTTTGGCAAGTCGGAGCCTGGGCTAGACTAAACTGGATGGCCAGTCATCTTGACCATGAACATCCTCTTCAGAGAACTAGTTTATCTATGTGTACAATCTACAATTATCTTCTCCTAAGTATGCCTGGATGTAGAAAACGTTGGATGACATTAATTTACTCTCCTAATCCTGCTAAATTCCTTTCCAGGGATTTCTTATTTCTCAACATCCAGTTCTGGCCTGAATACTGCTGGTGTTCAGACGTGTTCAAGTTGGGAAGCTCCAGAAGTGAGAATATTGGTCTTGTTTTCTGCTTGTTTACAGAGAAGAAATCAGATATTCTTTTTGAACAGCTGCATCCCTAGTGTCTGGCATAGGACAGGCACTCAAAAAAAAAATAATTATGGAAAGGAAGATGGGAGGGAAGGAGGAAAGAAGGAAGGAATTTTGGCTTCTGTACTGCCTGCAAGCTGAATCTGATATCTTTCCTACCTCCGTAGGTGACCGAAGATTCTTTAGCAGTAAGCTCTTCATCAGGTCGAACTGATTTCTAATGTCCTCTCGCCTTTTGCCAATGATGGGTGCATCCACTGTGATCACCAAAGCTTTGAAACCCAGGGATTCTACTCTTTGGATAAGCTGTTTGTTTAGCTGCCAGTCTGACTGCACATAGAGTTGGAACCATCGGAGGCCTTGGGGAGCAGAAGCGACAATATCTTCAAGGGTACAGCTGGCAAATGTGCTGGTGATGTAACAGATGCCGGCTGCTTGGGCAGCTGCAAAGCAAAGGACATGACTCAGGTTGGAGAGCACAGGAATTCTGGACTGTTGTGAGAGGCCCTAGGAGTCCACGCTGCCCCTGGCCAGCTTGCCCTGGATGTGAAGATAAAACTTGACTTCCTTCTGTTTCCCTGTAGGGCAGGGACTGGAGACGGTTTGATCAGACGGAGAGGCCTAAAGCTGTTCTTGTCCCTCTTCTGTACCATCTGTCTTACAAGTCCTGTGGCCTATCATAAAATGTTTCCAGCTAGAAATATCATTTAATCCCCAGAACCATGTTGGATATATTACAGTCTTCAGATAAGAAAGGAGGCTTCTTATGAATTCCCCTTAATGAAGGAAGAGAATTACAGAGGCCAGAGGAAGGGAAACACGATTCTGGTGGAAAAGCGTAAACTGTGGAGTAGAAACATCATGATAGCACAAATAGAGGAATACTGGCTCTACTACTGCTTCCTTGCTGTGTGACCTTGAGTCTCATTTACTTTATCCATAAAATAGGGGAAAGAATAATATCTGTCTTTTGTTGGGAGACTAAATAACATACTAGATACGGAAGCATTGTTTAAATTGCAAAGTGACATACTGCACAGATGCCAGTGATAAGGAGGTTGATGGTGACAATGGTGATGATATTGACATCACCACTACCGCAGAATTGAGTATTTCTCACTTCCTACATTCAGTCCTTCAGGGAGCTTCACCAACAGGTTAATGTCACTAATGTTACAAACCATGGCAGAAAATTTGGACTGACCAAAAATTAATACCAATATCTCATGTCAATGGGAGGTACCTCATTCTCAAACCAATACCTTCAACTGTGTAGATTTAATAAACTATTCAAATTCTTATAAGAAATTCATGTTTCAATTCAGCCAGACCTGGCTATGTTACTTTTAGCTCTAGAATACTTGGACTTGTTATCTCTGTATCACGGAGTCAAAGGAAAAGACCCCAAAGAAACTCTGGATAACTAAAAAACAATAATAACAACAACAACAACAAAAAAAAAAAAAAAAACAGATTCAGCCTAGAGTGAAGATTACAGAATCTTAAGAGAATTTTTATTCCCATCTCTTCTCATTTTTATTATTGATATTATTATTATTATTATTATTGGTATTGGTGGAAGACATGGAAGTTACTAGGAAGGATAAATACACAGAAAAAAACAAACTATTTTTTTTTTTGTTAAAGAAGATGACAAGGTCAATTGAGGAGAAGGGAAATGGAACATTTACACAAGAGAAAACTACGGGGCCTTGTGTTAGAACCTAATGTCATAATTTTCTCTTCACTTAATTCAGACATTCATCATTCAGCCCCATACCTGATCCCTAAAGAGCCAGACAGACCTACTCTTGGGGCCATCCTCAGGATCTACTCATGGAGCATTCCTTTCCCCAAAGATAGTGTGGTTCATCAGGCCAGCACCCTTCTTCTGAGTGACAACTTGGTGGGATCCTAGCACACTCCTCTTTATCTGTGCTCCTCCCTTCACTCTGTTTGCTATTACGAGTGCTGGGTGTTTTCTTAGCATTAGGTAAAAAGACATACCAACAGCTTTAAGCATTCCTTTTCCCACCTTCCAGTCAGATTGCTGTCCCTAAGGCCTTTCTATGAGGAGTCCTAAAGCTCCCTGCTGTTGTTCTGAGGAGGCCTCCTGAACACATCTGGCCTTCTGGAAAGGAAGCCTTGAGATGGGGTTAGTTTATACCTCTGGCTGTGCTCACTTCTCCATCGGGCCAGAAAATGCCATGGAAGGCTGTGGGCGAGATGCAAATGGGGGCACTGATCTCTTCCCCTTGGATTGTGGTCCTGGTGTCCACCTCTGACACATCTCGCAGGTACCGGGGACGGAGGCGGATTCTGTGGTAGACAAAAGTTCTATTGGTGTGATTATGCTTCAGCATGATGGGGCCCCCTGATTCCTGGTGCAGGTCTAAGCCAGTCTAGGTCCTGTGAATCCTTGGTGAGTTCACTTGACGGATCCTGAGTAAGCAGTGTAGGTCCTGCAGGGGCCTCATCTGATCCCAATGCCCAGTTCCACACAAACCCCACCCTCTCTGAACGGCTAGTGCACTGCGCTCCATGCCATGCCCCGCCTTGCTGTTTTCAGAGTCTGTGTCTTCTAAGGGTGCCTGCCTGACTAGAGTCTTCAGTGGTTGGACAACTTGATTGATCCATCGTAACAAGGACTAGAAAGGGAAAGAAGAGATAGAAGTTCCAGGCTCATTTCCTTCTGGGAAAGAAAGAATTCCCTAGAAAATATGAAGGAGCCACCGAGAGAAGACACATACCAGAAAATAATCATGGCTTTGTTGGCGGATGCTGATTCATTTGATTATTTGACTTAAGTACTACTTTAGAAAAAGGTAGGGGAATTATAAATAAATACACCTGTAAGATATAATTTTAAGTTGAGTGAAGACCGAGCCTCCTAAACTGAGCCTCCCAAACTTTTAGTTTTTCGTGAATTATTATTGTTTCTGTTCAAAAACTTAGAGTTTCTCAAAATACTCATTGGCAAACTTGAGTAAGTGAGTCTCAGTTACTTCATCCGTGAAATAGGAGCCATGATTTAATTTACTAACATTTTTTTTGTGAAGACAAACTGAGATGGAGCATTTAAAGTGCCCAGTGTTGTTCCAGCTAAGTATGAAAGTACAGAATAGAATGTTCACTTGGTGTTCCTTTTTGCAGTTTTCTCCTGACTTTTCTATCACAGGGGTTGGCAAACTCTCTTTAAAGAGTCACATGGTAAATATTCTAGAATTTTAGGGTCAGATGGTCTCCATCAGAATTATTCATCTCTGTTCTTAAAGTAAAAAAATAGCCACAGACAATAGTACATGACTAAGTATGACTGTATTTCAATTAAAAACTTCATTTATGGATACTAGGATTTGAAGTTTATATGTAGTCATGTGCCATATAATGATGATTCAGTCAACAATAGACCCCATATATGAGAAAGATCACATAAGATTATATCCCCTAGTGACACTGGATCCATCTTTTATTGTATAAATACACTCTACAATGTTTTCACAATGATGAGATTCTTTAACAATGCAATTCACAGAATGTATCCCATTTCTAAGTGACACACCTATAAGTTTTACATATCTTCTTCTTTTGGCTTTTTGCCCCAAATGGGTAAAAATGCACAACCATTCCCAGTTTTTTTCCAATACAAACAAAAAATAGGTGGTGAACCAGACTCCGTTTGTAGCTATTGTTGGCTGATCCATGCTCTATCCCCTGTTTTTCAAGTCTACCTATTTTCCCTTAAAACAATCTTCTCTCATCCTGGAGACTTGCTGGGTTTCATATTTTCTCCAAACCCAAATCCACTCTCCTGTCTTACATTTTCTCCTCCAAGATAGAAGTCTATGAGCTCAGAGCATCTAGGCTAGGCTTCCTGCCCTATGGCTGGTCTTCCTGGGACTCTGTCTTATCTTTTCGGGTTGCAAAATTACTGGAATACAAAGGAAGGATGACTCACTTGTGTTTGTTCTAAGATAAATTCTCTCTCCATCTTCTCTCCAACCCTCTTCCCCCTCTGCCTCTCCTAACGCCCCCCTCAAAAAAAATCACCACAACAAAAACCCATATTACTATATCTTGATTATTCCTTCTTCTTCGGAGGCAGAAGCCAACACTACCAATATCTAAGGAGCTCCCAACCAATGCACTTTAGTTTAACAATAAGAAGAATATGAAAGAACAGACTTTTTAAATGCTGCAATGTTCTCGTCCCGTGTGATGCCTTCATCAGCCACTCCTTCAATAAAATCCCAAGATGACTTCGACAGCCGCTCTCGGGCATGTGCTTTAAAGTCTTTCAAACACACCAATGGCATTCCTGGACCTTCAAAAAAACAAACCGAACCAAACCTCATAAGAGCACTTCAGATGTAAAAGAGAGAGTAAAGGGGGACTGCGGTGTGAAATTGCTGGGGTGCAATATTGGTCTCCCTTGTTCTTTAATTTAAAGGAATTACTGTCCAGGACATGATCTCTAAGCCAGAAGGCAGGGAGCCAGGCATTAGTTCTCTATGTCCCACACCCATTCCTAAGTCTTAATTATTTTGTCTTCTAAATGTCCCTCATGTCCATCCCCTACAAAGTGCACACTGCCCTAGATCAAGTTGAGACCCTACCACCTCTTAAGAGATTATTACCAAAAAACTTTTTTATTTTGTTTCTTGCCTCCAGACCTGCTCTCCATCTCATCTCCCTGCAGCTTCCTGAGGTAATCTAAAATGCAAGCCTGTTCATGCCTCTGGTCTTTCAACGCGTCCATATCACAGCACTTGGAGTTTTCCAGGTCCTGCTTCCTAACTGCTTCACTAGACTCATTTCTTGTTGGCTTTTCCCCAAGAGGAAAAATAGGGAATGAACTGGTACTAATGGGAGCTCCCAGGAACCTCAGATATTTGAATTACCTGAGGCTGTGGGTGAAATGGGGGCGGGGGAGGCAGCTGGGTTTTTTTTTTTTTTTTGTTCACGCCTTGACCGGAACATTAAACATATTCCTTTATATCATTAGGACAACAAAATATCATTACCTATCTCTTTGTTATTTTTTATAATGTTGAGGCCAGAAAAAAATGGCATATGTTGCTTCTATTTATTCGCATCCAGTCTGAACCTATAAACCTGGAGCTTGGTACTTCTGATACAATTGTCCCAGAAAGAAGAAAGAGGGCAGAGTTTGAGGTCATTAGTTCATTTTTTTAACAGGAGCAAGGACTGTGGGATCAGTCACTGCTGGCTACTGCAGTGGCTATCGTCAGTCACAGCACATAGAGCGCCTACATGAAAGGATTCCAGAAGGAAAAGCTGAGAAACCCGAAGTTTCAAGCTCCAGCCAACTCCCTTCTGAGCCTAAGACTGCAAGAAAAACTAGAAGGCTTTTAAGTGATTGACTGAAGAAAGGGAAAGGTCCCAGGAACTAGAACTTCAAACAGGAATGGGTTTAGTTCCATTAATGGGCAAGGGGCCAAAGGCCCAGATGTAACAACGTGAGGTGCTGGATATCTTGGCTGAGGTAGAGAAGGAGCAGAACTGGCCTGAGGGTAATCCTGAGCTAAGCCCAAACCCAGTAAAGTCAAAAAGAGAAGTAGCCCTGTAACATTAACCCAAGGGGCTGAACAGAAAATTATATGACAGAAAAAAAAAGAGCCACTGGGATGTGTAGGTTACAGATGGAGGAAAGGATGAGGAATGTGGACCACAGCTGCAGAGCTTTTCATAGGCAGCCTTGTCATTGGATGGGCAGGAAGCTGTTCTGCTGCTGAATTGAGTCTGACAAAGCACAGCATCTGTACCTCACTTAACTCATTCCTACCCAACCCTTGAAGGATCAATAAACCTTAGTCCAATCAATCATTACATTGATCCAACTATATTTCAATTACACATTTATACTTCTGTGTGCATAAATGAATTAATATAGCAGGCCCGAGAATGCTATTTTTTTAAGTCCTGCCTGCAAGGTTAGACCTTGGCTGGTGTCCATGAACTTGCATCTTAACAGGGTCCCTGATAAGAATGGCTCCTTGTATTCGAACTGTTTGTACAAACAGCATTATTTATGCTGAACACCTGCTTTCCCTCTGGGAGTCTAGGGTATTGGTACAGAGTGACCAAATGACCATCTCCCAGCATGAAAGTCTTAGTTTTGAGTCTCTAATGAGCTTTGGTAGACAGCTCTGTACATGCGTTCTCACAACGCAGGAATGGGGGAATTAAGTGCATCCTGCCTAACTCCACTGGGAGTGGACTCTTGGGAGCTTATACCTGGTTTCCTCCAGATTTTGTCCTGTGATCCTTTCCCTTCGCTAAATTTGCTTTCAATCTTTTCACTATAATAAATCAGAGCCTCAACTGTATGCTGAGCCCTGTGAATCCTCCTAGTAAAACATCAAACCTGGGACCCTGAACACACTCTATCCTTAGACTTTAGGATTGTACATGACATTGAGTAAACATTCGTAAATGTCCACTACTGGAATGAATATTTCTCTGTATGTCATCTCTCTGCTTTACTGGATGAGAATTCCCCACACCAAGTTTTAACTCCCGATATCCTGTATATTAAAACCTCACAGATGCTCTCCTGAATATTTCTAGCACAGAAACTACACAAAGCTTATGTATAATCCAGGAGAAATGGCTCAGACTCACTCCAAATTACTTGCCTTGAATAGAGTAAACTATGTCATTTGAAAACTGCTTGGAAATAAGGTTGGAACCCTGCTTAGAAATAAAGCATTAATCCCAACATCCTTATATATAGCAAACACTATTTTATCTGATTTCATACCTTTTATAATCTTTCTTTAGCCTTTCTTCTATCCAGTAGTTTCTCTCAATTTCCCTGTGAAATATTAGAATTAATGGGGTATTAATCTCCCCTGTTTTTCATTTGAAGAGAATGAGGTGTAGGAAATGAATATCTTGTGAACGATTGGGCAGTAAGTTACTATAGGAGGTGGGGTTCTGGAATCCTGTCTCTTGGTGGCTTCTAAAGATGAAGTTCTCCATTTTCAGTTCAAGAGTGAAAAGCAAACTAGTTGCTCAAATAAATTATGTTATATTGAATTTAAAATCACTTTGTAGATCCAAAAAAATATAATTGTGCATTTTTTTGTTGTTATAACATGTGAGCTTAGTAGAGTACTTAGTAGTCTATCATTCTTATTAAAGAAACAATGTCAGACTTAGAGGCGAAAAGAAAGATAATTTGGCTGTTCAAAGCTTTTCCTTAAATTTGGGAGGGAAGAATTTAGTACAGTATGTTTTTGTGTATTTCAGTCTGCACCCATCCGTACAAGACTAGAAAACACCAGAAATTAAAGAGAAGATTGACGTTATCTCCTAGTTTTCTTGTACTCTCATTTTAGTTCATTTCCATTCCAGTGTTTTTTTCTTCTGTTTGTTTCTACTCCAACTGTCTAAGAGACAGGAGGAAAATGATGAAAGTCTTTATTTTTATTTTATTTTATTTTTTTTGCACATTGACCAAATAACAGATCCTATTCTAAGAACATTGGTTCATTTTTCCTCTTTTACCTTCTCAGGCTCTTTTTTCTTTTTAATAGCAAAATAAACAACTAGGTACAATTAGCAGACCAGTGACAAGAAAGTGAAAAGGCAGAGACCTTCATTGGTACCTGTTGCTAAACAGTCTAATGTTCAAACTCTTTTCCCTGACACTAGACTCGGACTGGAGCTCATGGGCATCTTGAGGAAGACCTTGCTTTCTTCAGTGTTGCAATCTGACCTGATACAGTTCAGCTACATAAGAAGTTGATTTCTTTTGAATATCTCAAATAATTCATGGGATTAGGAACTCTGCACTCTCAGAGTTGGTGTCTGTATGGAAGGGAAATCTCAGGGTGAAGATCTCAGGGCAGGTTGTGGAGACAGTGTGGGCAGGGGGTTGGGGGACAAAAATCTGCCCCTGATGACTCACCTTAAGGTACCTATCTTTGGCACGACCGGATGTGTCCTTCAAGAGCCCTGACACTTTCCTAAAACTCATGCCAAGTTTCTTTGGAATGGCAGAGATAACATCAAGGCTGCATTCTGGGAACAAGGTTGGAGACACTAAACCGCTCAAGGGCTGGCGGAATTTCATCCTACGTGGGATGACTCTTCCTCAGCCTCAAGGATAGTGACTTCAAAGAACAGAGAGTCAGCTGAGTTATCAAAGAGATTACAGCCACAGAAGTTTCTGGTAATGGCTTGGATGCTAGCCGAAGGATCAGGGGCCCAGAGCTGCAGGGACCCTGTGAGCCTTGGTGCAGAAGGCAATCATCCCAGGAATGGAAAAAGCCACTAGAACTGGGGCAGATGAGCACCCAGGGAGATCCCAATGTGGGGAGACGAGGTAAGGGGCAGGACTTGGATTCCCAATAACAAACAGCAAGTGAGTCCTCAGAGTAAAAGTGGAACCAGAATGTTCCTGACACGGGGGTGGCCTGAGGAAACCAAGGATGTGTCTGTCAGGAAGGGAACAAGGGGCCCAGTGTGGGTCTGACAGGCACCATTCCAGTTAGATGCTGCGAGAATTGACTCCTGGTCTCCTCCAGCCCAGGATCAGCTCTGGCCTCTTTCTGAGCCCTCACACTTTGTGAGCCAAGGACCCAGGACCCCTTCCTTCCACAACATGATGGTCATGTCTTTGTTTTATTCTGTTCTGTATAAGAATAATTCTTCCTTGTCAGCCCACTAGCCCTCCACCTCTCTCATCTGCCTGTTTTCCTTCCCAGTACTGAAACGTCTTCTCTTGAACTGTACGCATGTTCTATCACAAGGATTGTGATGTTTGGGTTCTTGGGACTAAATCAAACAAATTTGACTCTAGGAGCTTTGTGTGTCATGGGTCAAAAGAGTTTGAGAGGTTCTGGGTCAGGGGACATATTTATGGGAGTCTCATTCTGGAGTGCTGTGACCTAAATTAGGCTGTCCTGCCTCCTCAGGCCATAATGACCACAGATCCTGTCCATCAGCACTGGAAGACAAAACAGTTGCCCTTGATGGAGCTGAGACAGACCTCAGAGAGGAGAGGCATGCCTGAGCTTCGCGGCAGGATTAAGAAACGAGCCCAGGTCTCCTTCCTCCACACTCAGTGCTCTTTCCGAACTGGCTTATTTAGCTTCTCAGCACAGAGCAAAGAATCCTAGAAACTCACTTTATTACACTTGATGCCATCATTCCACCTCCTCCTCCACTCCTGCAGATTCTGCTTAGCCAGTGTCAGCAAAGGAGGCTGCACTTCAAGTGGGACATATTAAATAAACTGGCTTCGTCCACTGGTGTTTGTGACAGCTGCAGGGAGTCTGCTTTGAGGAGAAGG